GGGTCCGGGCTGGGGATTCGAACCCGCCACCTTAGGTGTACGTGGCTGGCGCCTTAGCCGGTTGAGCTATAGGCGCCGAGCCCAAGTTTTCATTTTTTTCTTTTTTAACAAAAATAGAAAATCTTTATCAACAATCCTGTTGTAATGTTGAACTTCCTCACGTTTAATAACTCTCAACTGTATTTCTGTTATAAACAAAGCATCCAAACCTCCAAAATTAAAAGTTTCACTGGTACAATGTATTTCCATTTACATATAACCGCTTAATACACAGAACTCAAGGAGTAACGAGGTGGTTCAGTTGGAAAGCTAATCATATGATGCCATAAAGCTGTTTTTTCCCAACACTGTCACCTAATCAGCTGTGAAAAGGCCTGTGCTTCCCCAGCCCCCCACCCGGAGACTGCTAAATCAGAATCTCCATGGATGAAAAAAATCCTTTCTTTTCTTTTTTTTTTTTTTTTTAAATAAAGAGGGTCTGTGGCTCAGTGAGTAGGGCACCAGCCCCATATACCAAGGGTGGCAGGTTCAAACCCAGCCCCAGCCAAACTGCAACAACAACAAAAATAGCTGGGCATTGTGGTGGGCGCCTGTGGTCCCAGCTACTCAAGAAGCTGAGGCAAGAGAATCTCCTAAGCCCAAGACCTGGAGGTTGCTGTGAGCTGTGATGCTACAGCACTCTACCAAGGGTGACAAAGTGAGACTCTGTCTCTAAAAAATAAAAAAAATAAAAAATAAAGAATATGATCTGCAAATTTCTTAAACTTCACCTCAGAGGTAATTTCCTTTCTAGGTTTCTTCTACAATAGGTGATACCCAAGACATTCATTTGGACCTTTATCTTATTTTTTCTTTTTTTGCTATTTTTCAATGCATGTAAGTGTTGTGACAACACACAATGTTACCATTATATTAACGATCACTGCTGCAGGGAACTTTCCCCATAACTTAACTCTGCTGGCCATCCTGGCACTGAGTCCCCAGAGAGGTTGCCCAAATTGACATCTGAAAATCTGCAGGATTTCAAAAAGAACAAAATTTTCCAGGGTCATAGGAAGATATGTAATTGCTCTTCTTCTAGGACAATTCAATCACTAACTTCCCAATATGCCCAATATTTCCATTAAATGGAGTAACAAGGTTCAGGGTTCTGAATAAGTTGAGCACCTCCCTACATTGACCACCTCCTCAAGTTGACCTCATATTCATGGACTGGACATGTGCCACATGTGCACATCAGTACAGCAGGCCTGGTTCCTTATGTTGACCACCTCTGTATGTTGGCCAGTTTGTTACAGCCTCTTGGGTGGTCAACTTACAGAAGTTCTACTGTGGTTGGAAAATGAAGAATAATAGGTGGATTTTCCATTTCACTGATAAAAACATCCCTTTTCTCCAATTAGCCAAATAGGTATTTGAGTTTTTATATTTCTGTTTACAAGAAGAACTGAATGCTTAGAGAATGCAAACTTGGGTCATTTTAGGAATTATATGCAATTCTTAAAAAAACAAGAAAGGAAGGAAGGAAGGAAAAGACAGCAAAATCTTGGTCAAACCAATAGACTTAATTTAATTTCACTATTATTTGTAGGTCCTAGGATTAAGTACTACATCTAATTTAAGAAGCTGACATATCAATGGGTATAAATCTCAATAAAAATGTTTAATTAACATGTTATCAAAAGACATAATCTAATTAGAAATCAAAGAAAGAAAGAACAAAGCATTTCCCTTCAGAAATATTCCTTTGATAATTGTATTAAGACTATACAATTGTTATCTGTCTGATACACAATAAATAATAAGACAAAATAAAAGAAGAAAAAAGAAGGCACACATGTTCTATAAAACACATTACATGACCAATGTGTAAATTGAAATCACTGTGATATATTCAGTAGCCCTAATGATTAATCACTTAAATAAATCTATCATTTCAAAGTATTCAATTTTAAATTGATTAATTGGATAATGACCCATTGAATATAACACATAAGAAATTATCATCCCCATTTTTAAATAAAAAAGAAACTAAGCAACTTCACTAAAGTGAGATGGAAGTAGTAGCAGAGCCAGGATAAAAACACAGAGTTTCAAAGTACTCATCGAGAGTTCTTAATAAAATCAGAAAAGCCAGCCGGGCTCGGTGGCTCACGCCTGTAATCCCAGCAGCTTAGGAGGCCAAGGCAGGTGGATTGCCTGAGCTCACAGATTGGAGACCAGCCTGAGCTAGAGTGACCCCCCACCTCTAAAAATAGCCGGGTATTGTGATGGGTACTTATAGTCCCACTTATTTGGGAGGCTGAGGCAAAGAATGGCTTAAGTCCAAGAGTGAGCTCTGATGCCATAGTACTCTACTGAGGGTGACAAAGTGAGACTCTGTCTCAAACAAACAAACAAACAAACAAAAAGAAATCAGAAAAGCCACAACTCATGAAATAAACAAGGTACTAACAACTAGACATATCAATGTCTAATTTATTATGTCCACATGTTAACTGAGATTTATGTTGACTTTCTCTCTACTAAATATACCTAATGTTATCTGGAAATGGTAATGAAAGCAAACGCATGACTGTTATCCACACACACACACACACACACACACGCAGACATATATGCACACACACACACACACACCCCCGCAGACATATATGCGCGCACACACACACACACACACACCCGCAGACATATACGCACACACACCCGCAGACATATATGCACACACACACACCCGCAGACATATACGCACACACACACACCCTCAAAACCCAGAAAGTGACAAGTGTTGGGGAATACGTGAAGCAACTGAAATCCTTGTCCGCTGTTGCTTGGAATGTGAAATGGTACAGGCAATGTGGAAAATGCTATGTTGATTCACTAACAATTTAAACATAGAATTACCATGTGACCTAGCAATTCCATCTCTGCATATGTGTATTACTCAAAAGCAAGCAGAAACTTATACATACATTGGGACACCCACATTCAAAGCAGCATTATTCACAATAACCTAAAGATGGAAGCACCAAAGCATCCACTCACAAATGAATGGATAAATATAATGTGGTATAAACTATATCATGGATTA